AAATATGAATAAATACATAGGTTGAAAATTTCTGATTGTTATTACTAACTCACAAGATGATATTTACCAAAAAAAACTTTTACCAAACGATTTATTTACCAAGAGAAGAATCACTTTTCCGATTTTCTCACTCCGTTAGATCTATCTATACCGCTCGACGCTTCAAACCAGACTGAGTTCAGCTTTGAAAATCTTTTCCTCCAGATTTTATGATTATAAATCTCACTATACAGTGCGTGCTATGTTCGCATACCGACCTTTCTTCTACAAACTTGCCTTATCGCTCTTTTCAAATGGCGCCGTTGAAGTGCTCGGACCGTCATGAGCACGCCTCTCACGTTCTCGTCAAAACCCGCCGACATTTCTTGTATATATCTTAGTAATTTTACTATATTTTGATTTGATTTCTTGTGCCACTTCAAGAGAAAACTTCAGGGAAACATGCATGTCGCAAAAAATTGCGCTGAAATAACTCAATTCCCCGTAATCGCTAATAAACTTTAATGTCCCACGAGAGGGGACATCCGAGTGATATGCTAGAATTACGATGTCCCACGAGAGGGGACAGCGGAGTGCAAAGGGTTAATACAAAAAAAGTTAACTATTTCGTATAACGAATCGGATTCTACCGAAGACATAACAATACTCACCCGAAGAATCTCGAATATCATAGAACACATGCCTATACCGTTCGTCAAGGTAAACGACAGAACAACAGGCGCGTAAACCTCTTGTATACCGTCCCCGCACGCGACCAACGTAGCGTGTCTGTCGACGCATTTCCGCAAAAGTCGTCTATGAGCTTCCGTATCATTCGATCGCTTTGTCAATTCTTCCAGTTCGACGGCCATCGCCCTTAGCACGGAGCACACGCGGAGCGCGCACATCATGAAAAACGTGTCCACTCCGGCGCTTATGAATATAAACGAGAAAACAATTGTCGCCTCCGCCATATAATGCATCGCGTAGCTAAAAGTCGTCGTGATCGGCCATGGGTAAGCTGATGGTACCACGTACGTGTGAGCCCCGTTCCGAAATACAATTACTACCAGCGGTTTAGTCACAAGTAGGGATATGGTAAACAAATTGATGACGTATAAAGAGGATGCTAGTCGATAACAGATGAACAGATATCCAAAAGCTGCTGATCCCGATGGCTGCTTCATCACTGACTCCTGGTAAAGTATCTCAAGCGTGTCGTATATTCGTCTTAGCTTTTCACGACGAAGAATGAAGCGTATCAACTGGAACGAGAGATCAAAAAACGCCTGTAGTATTCATCTTCATTCATAAAAATCTCGCAGTTGTCTTCGAAACGCAAAAAAGAAGTTCAGACTTGATGGACTGTTTAATTGTCAGTAATAGAATGATGAAGTTTCGTATGGTTTCAATACTTTTAAACATGATTCTTTTGCTTTTCGATATACATACTTGGTTAATTCACACGTAAATGTTGTTACAAAAATTCACCATTTCCTTCAGTTCTTAATTTGTTGATCCTAAGAGAGGATTTGTTGATCCCTTGATGAGACTAAGAAACGACGAACTAAATTGCTGATTAGTGTGCACCATAAAAATGATCTACATCTGTTGTACGAAGCAGAATAATTAATGAAAGGGATACCTTTTTATTTCATAATTTGAATGTTGACAATAATACGTCGTTACTATCCCATACTCTTAAATATTTATCGGTTTCAAATAGCAACTACAGTAAATTCTCCCTAATTGACGCTGAACTTGTACACAAAAATGAAACATTTTCGAGCAATTGTTACCGACAATTTTTAGCAAGTATGATTCACACTCTTTTGCGAAACGCTTCCAATAGTTTGATAACACATTTCATACTACAAACTTCTCAATTTTCCGGTATTTTAATTCCATAAACTGAATGATCTAGTGAGTACACTAACTGAAAACAGATGAAGTACTCTAGATTTCATTAAATGTATATGTTGATTTTTTTGAGACTTTTAAAGAATATGTTGTTCCAACTTCTTCTTTGCTGTGTTTCTTTTAAAAACAATGAAGGTACCTTTACGCCTAAATTCATGGTAGTACTAAGCAGACTGAATGTTCCAATAGCTGCACTGATCTCTTTGATATGAAGGCGGAAAAAATTTGCCATGGCACAGAACAGATAGACATACCCCAGCAGCATAAAAATTGGTAGGTATATGATAATGCCCTGCTGGTGTGGATACAGTCCGTATAACCTAAGCATACGTTCTACAAGATAAGTGTACTTTTCGTAGACTAACATTTCCCGCGACATAGTTGAAAATGTACAGAAATCCTGTCGGTATTCGCGAAGTACCAACGGCGATCTTTTGTGAAATGGACCTAATGCTTGTGCATTTGTAACGGGCGCTATATCCCTCTACTTATGTTCGCGATTACGGATCGATCGATCATCGTTCAACCAATTCAGCGCCCTTCAATTCCGTTGAATTGCTCCACGAAAATCAGAGATGTTAAAGAATTTATTACGCAGAATACGATCGATTCTTTCCCCGATTAGATGTTGCAGGACGTTCGCGATTACGAATGATCATGCACAGTAAATCGGTTCTTACGATTTTCAGAATGCTAGGGGATACTTTTATTGAGATATTATGTGATACGGAAGAGGGGAATTTGTAGGAATTCGCAACGTGTGGAAATATGAATAGTGAACAAGTTAGAATGGATGAAGACGAGTTCTGTACAGTAAACGACAGATTGCAACGATCGCGCTGTGTCACAGAGGGTAGTAGGATAGCATGAACTAGAGCGAGCGAATGAGTGGATTGTTGCATCGCAGTTTCCTGGAATAGTGCCTCGAATGGATCGATCAGGTACGTCAGTTTTTTTTGAGAAATCACGAATCGCGAATTTTGATCTAGATCTTTATAGAATCGAATGTTAATCGTGCTACAGTATCATTTACAATGCTCAACAATGCTACCAGTTACAATGCTTTACAATGCTTAGTACATGGAAGTTACAGTCATAGCAATTACTAGAGAAATTGTGAACGAAACAGTTTTATAAGTGACACACAGAGAATGAAAATACGTTTAAAAATTGAATGATACGTATAGATACAAATATTTGTGAATTAAGTGATTAATCCTATCTGTGCTGACTTAAATGAAAAGTTGTTATGGATCATACAAAGATAAACTAGATAAACTATAGATAAAATAAATATGTTTCATAACTATTATATACAAATTAAACAATGCAACTTTGCTGTGTACCACGTACGGACAATCGGACAAAAATCGGTGTATAGCTTGTGAAGAATGAAACGTGCAAATATTACTACAACCGTTTCTTTTGTCTGACTCGCTTTCACGGTAATTAGTTTTTATGCAACAGTGAGCAAATGAGCGAGTGCTTCGAAAAAAATTACCAAAATAAATACGAGCTTAAAATGGTTTTAAGTGTTGCTATGAAAACGTAACTGTGAGTTAATTGATTCGGATCTAGAACACAAGGATCTGTCAATACATCATTTTTAGAAAAAAACAAGAAAACCATCGCTGTCAGAACAAGCCGTTGTTATTTACTTTCTGTACAATAAAAGATTAACTTCCATTTACTACGATATATTTGCAAATTGTATTCTTCATAATTCTCATTTATATCATCGACAAAATGTGGTCATTTTATTCTGTCTGTTATTTATCCTCCTCAAGTGTCGCCAACAAGAAGTAGTAAGATATCGTTGTATTCATAATCTGAAAGTAAACGATTCTCAACATTAAATATCGAGATTATATTGGAACGAGATGTTCGGACAAAAAGATCGCAGAGTGACTTTTATTTTTCGGCCTAAATGCTGCTGCCATTTTTTCTATTTCAGCTTTTAATTGATGTTCTTATTGGATAGTTTAATGGATAGTTTTACGACTATATAACGCGCGTTTTTTGCACCTTAACAATTTTTGCATGCCCTTGTTATTAGCCGATGTTTGATCTAGATTTTGCACCACAGCAACGCAATGGTACACATTGCTCTCATTATGCATGACTTTTCAGCACGATATAATATTACACTTCTTGGTCGTCTAACATGAGAATTCTTTTCATTCTTCAACGCACAAAATAACATGTGGAAACAGCATTTTTGGTATGTAATATATAAATTAAAGAACTGCGTCACTTTTTTGCATAATGGAAGTGTAACTAGATTGACACGGGCATTAAAAAAGTACATTTCAAAAGTGGTAATGTAAATTTTGTTAAAGAATCGGGCAAGTGATTGTTATTAATCATCCCCGCAAACTTTTTGTCCACTCCACGTACCGTCACAAGATCGCTATACCTTTGCGAAGAGATCCAAGGTAACCTCAATTATGTTGTACGCCCTTAGTACCATCAGCCTCTGCGATAATATCGTGACACAAAGTTTTCCGTCTTGAGCATCCGAACGCTCGTACCAATTATTAAAGGAAATCTCGTCACGAAAAACTTCGTTCTTTGGAGAAAAACAATTTGAACATGTAATACGAGGAGAAGATTGGAGAAGATGTGCAAGTCCTGTACTTATGTTTCAAACACCATTTTATCTTGAGGATAAGCTTTTCTTCGATATAAATTATGTACGTTTATTACTAGATGCAAATCTTTATGCAAGATAATAATTTTTTATGTAGATTTTGTGTTACGCGTAAGTTAAATCCAAAAGAATTTCTTTTCTTAATAATTTTAATAACTTGAATATAATGTACGAACATTCGTAAATTTTTCTAATTTCTTTGTAGTTTGATATTTTCTCTGATCATTTTATTGTACTATTTATTAAACTTTATGGTACATTTTACGCTATATGTGATACAAACTTCAGAAATGATCATAGTTCCAGGCCAGACATAAACCAGCGTCTGCATCACTTTCGAGACAAAATAGATGGCTACAGTGACCATTCTTCCGGTCGATATATCCCCAACCTGCCATAAAGAAAATATTCATAAACAAAAACAGCATATTTGATTAATATCAGCATGTATATGCTTCCTCATTTAACTACAGCTTATAAACATATTATTTTTGTTTATGCAATCATTTTGAAAAACACAGTCTCATCAGACATTTGACAATTTTATTCATTCTTGTTTCTATGCTCATGTTTCGTTTCCATTCGACATCCAAAGATCGTACTTCGCAAACCGATTTATAATTGCCATTATAGTGTAGATAGTATCCTCGAATGGTGGAGCTTGAGTCTTCTTGCCAGGGTTACGACTAATGTATTTAAATTGTTACCTTGTACCAGCTAGTTTGTTAATATTAAAAAGAAGTTTAAAGGAAGATTAACTGCATAGTGTGTAAGTCAACGAATGAACGATAAACTGATGTGTAGATTCCAGATAGCAGACTCGATCCATTTCAAACAAAGCTGAATAGATAAAATAGAAAATTATGCACATATCAGAGAAATATCAGAATTTCAAGCTATTAAAACGATTCAAAGAATAACTTCGTTTTCATCCATCTTTTGATTCGTCCAATTAACAAGTTTAATGTCACTTTGGAAACATATGGATGACACTCCTTTTGCGTAAGAATATACCGACGACACGATAATACCCACCTGAAAGATCTCGAATATCATAGAGCACATGCCCAAAGCATTCATCACAGTAAACATTAGGACAATAGGCCCGTAAACCTCTTGTATAATGTCCCGACACATGATCAGCGTAGCATGCTTGTCGATGCATTTCCGTAAAAGTAATCTATGGTTTTCGATACTACACGATCCCTTTCCCAATTCTTCCAATTCGACAGCCATCGCCCGGAGCACCGAGCATACACGAAACGCGCACATTGTGAAAAACACATCCACCCCGCTGGTTATGAATGGAAACGAGAAACAAATTAACGCCTCCGTTATGTAATGCAACAAGTAGTTAAAAGACGTCGTGATCGGCCAAGGGTAAGCTGTCGGTGCCACGTACGCGTGAGCCCCGTTCCGAAATACAAATACAATCAACGGTTTGATCACGTGTAGAAACATGGCAGAAAAATTCACGACGAATAAAGAGCACGCTAGTCGATAACAGATGAACAGATATCCAAAAGCAGCGGATCCCGTTGGTTGGTTCATGACTGTCCCCTGGCACAGTATCTCCAGCGTGTCGTATGTACGTTTTAGTTTCTCACGACGAAGAATAAAGCGTATCATCTGGAACGATACTGTCTAAAAACGTGTGTACGATGTGTCTTCATTTATAAAAATTATCATCTTATGAAAAGTTATATCATCGAAACGAAAAAAGGAAGTTCAGATTTGTTGGACAGTTTAATTGTTTGTAATAGAATCATGAACATCCTTATGGAATGTATGATTTTGAACATAGTCCTTTTGCTGTTCGATGTACAGTAAATTCTCCTTAATTTTCCTTCAGTTTATAAACAAAAATGAACAATGTGCAATGAGGAGGTTTTTATAATTGTTGACTCCTCTTCCCATAGTGTCCATTTTTGTTTACAAGCTGAAGGAAAATTCGGGAGAATTTACTGTACTTGGTTCGTCCACATATAAATGCCTTTACAAAAATACACCATTGTCTTCAGTTCTTAATCCCGTAGGTCTTATGATTTATAATTAAATTGCGGATTTTTGAGCACAATAAAAATGACGTGCATCTGTTGTACGAATAAAATCATACTTACAGACATATTTTTGATTTCATAATTTTAGTGATACGTTAGTAATACGTCAATACACTTCCATTTTTTCAAATGATCTACCATTTCAAATTGCAACTAATCATTTTGTCATAAATGCACAAAATCACCAGTCTGTTTACAATACTTTGGACGCGCTTACAGATTGAAAAACGCTGAACGAATAAGCGATCATTCACCGTCATTTGAAATTCCAACGAGATTTTGTGTCACAATTGTTACCAAGAATTTCTAGCGAGTACGACTTATACTCTTCGGTAAAATGCTTCCACCAGTTTGATAATGTTAATCCAAACTAAGCCATGATACTACATACTTTTCAATTTCCCTCTATTTTAACCCCATGAATGGACTAATTTTGTCGAGTACTCGAATAGAAAATAGTCAATGGTAGTTCACCAGATCTCATTAAATGTAGATATTCATATTCTTCAGACTTTCAAAGGCTTTGTCCTATCAATCTGTTGTTTGCTGTTCCTTTAAAACAAAAGCAACATACCTTTATGCCTGCATTCAAAACAGAGCTAATGCCGCCGAAAGTCGCGACGGCTGCACTGACGTTCGACATATGTAAACGAGAAAAGTTCACCATGGCACAGAACAGAAAGCCATATCCCAGCAGCATAAGCATTGGCACGTATATGACAATGCCTCGCTGGTGAGGGAACAGTCCGTAAACCCTCAGGATACGTTGCACGAGATTAGTGTACTTTTCGTAGACTAGCATTTCCCGCGACATCGTTGAAAATGTACTGATATCTTATCGATATCCGCGAAGAACCACCGGCAATCTTTTCTGAAATGCTCGTGCAACTACAACGCTTGGTATATCCCTTGACCTGCGATTACGAGCCGATCGATGATCGTTCAACCACTTCATTACCCTGCAATTTCGTTGAATTGCTCCACGAAAATCAGAGATGTTAAAGAATTCATCGCGTTCAATGCGCTGGATTTCTTTACTGGATTAGATATTGCAGGACGTTCACGATCACGAATGATTTTCCACGGTAATTGGTTCGTCGGATTTTGAAAATGCTAGGGGATATATTGATCGATACATTGCGTGATACGAAAGAGGGAGATCTGTCGGAATTTGTAAGTGTGGAGACGTGGATAGTGGAGACAGGTTCTGTACAGAAAACGATAGATTGCAATGATGGCAACATCACGAGTGATATACTAGTGAATAAAATCGTCAAAATAAGCTGTATTCTATCTACGTAATCATCATACCACGTTATCATGTTGACAGAAAATTTTGAGTCAGGTTGTCGAAATTTTACAGTCACCGATTTCAATGGCTTTGAATTATAATATAAAAGATCATTAGACTGAATACGTTCTGCTGTGTGCTTTGTAAATGAGACGTTACAGAGCATTAGCGAACGAGCACTAAAACGATTTGAACTTCATAGAATTTTTTTTTTAATCAACAAGCAGATGCTGTACTTTACTAGTTAAACGATTTGAAATTCAAAAGATATCCATTAGACAGCCGTCAGATGCATCAGTTTTAACGATTCTTTCTGAGCAGGTGAAAGTTTCACGTAATATGCGCAGATGAAATGATTCCGAAGGATCGGTGAATAGCTTGTGAAGGTTGAAACGTGTAGATATTGCTACAACCGTTTCATTTGGCTAACTCGTTTTCCAAGGAAATCCTCTCTACGCAACAGTCAGCAAATGAGTAAGTGTTTCGTGAAAAATTATCAAAATTTATACGAGTCTAAAATGATTTTAACCATTGCTATAAAAACGTAATTCGTTATGAGTTAATAAATTATCATTTCTGAGCAAACACAAGATTATCCATGTGTCAAAGCTATTGTTATTTACTTTCGATACAATAAAATATTTTACTACGACTACCTATTACTTACTAATTTTGCAAATTGTATCATCCTTAGTTCTCATTCACAACATCGTCAAGCGTCGCTAACAAAAAGTAGTATGATATTGTTCTAGCCATAATCTGAAAGCACACGTCACTTAATATCATGTCTCTACGTCTTAAAACGAGACGTTCAAACAAAAAGTTCGCAGAGTGATTTCTGATTCCATTTCAAAGGCAATGTTGCTGTTGCTATGTTTATTTGAACTTTCAATTGATAGCTTTATCTATTATCGTGGCAAGTATTACGTCGATTAATCTCGTGGTTTTGAGAGCGTAACAATTTTTAGCATACTCTTGTTATTAACCGATACGTTAACTGGATTTTTCATCAGAGCAACGCAACGGTATACGCTGCAGCGCTGTTTTGCAATAATAGAAGTGTAACTAGATTGAGTACCTACATGAGCATTAAAAAAGTACATTAAAAAAGTGGTAATGTAAATTTTGTTAAAGAATCGGGCAAGTGATTACTATTAATTATACCCGCAAACTTTTTGTCCACTTCTCGTACCGTCACAAGATCGCTCTACCTTTGCGAAGAGGTCCAAGGTAACCTCAAGTATGTTGTACGCCCTTAGCACCATCAGCCTCTGCGATAATATCGTGACACAAAGTTTTCCATTTCGAGCATCCGAACGCTCGTACCAATTATTAAAGGAAATCTCGTCACGAAAAGCTTCGTTCTTCGGAAAAAAATAATTTAAATATTAAATACGAGGAAAAGATTTGAGAAGATATATAAGTTTTACACTTATTATTCAGCCGTCATTTTATCATCGAGATAAGATAATAACATGCATTTTATATGTTTATTATTAGACTGCGAAGCTTTATGCAAAACTACAATTTTCTAAGTAGATTGTATTCAGTGTAAATTAAATTGAAAAGAATTTTCTTTTCTAATAATTTTACTAAATTGAGAAGAATGTAGAAACATTCATAAATTTTTCAAATCTCTTTGTATATATTTTCTCTGGTCATCTCATTATGCTATTTATTATACTTTAATGGTACGTTTTACGCACTGCTATACGTGATACAAACTTCATAAGTGATCATAGTTCCGGGCCAGACATAAACCACCGTCTGAATCACTTTCGAGAAAAAGTGGATGCCTACAATGATAATTCTTCCGATCGGTATTTCCCCAACCTGTCATAGAGAAAAAATTCATAAACAATAAAAACATTTTTTCTTAGTAGACTGCGCACCTTCGTGCAAAATAAAAATAACCTACGTTAATTGTAAAAAATATAAATTAGTTGATAACAACTTTCCTCTCGCAATAATTGTAATAAGTTGAAAATAATGTTGTCATAAATGCGTAAAGTCCGCAGTCTATACAGATCGAGCCGGAATTGCATCGAGCAGAGGGTGAATCTACGTGAAAAAATAAGACACATACATAATATTTTTTTCCGGTATAACATTCTTTTCCGGGCTTCGCTTTCGAGAAAATCGACTTCAAAGTTTATTCATATATGTAAAGAATTTAGTTGCCATTTATTCTGCTACCGCAATTGGCTTTGTCTGAAACGACAACAACAAAGAAAAAGTTTCATTAAATAGATAGCGGAATCGGAGCATTTTAGACAAAAATGAAAATGACAGAAGATTATGGTCATATCAGAAAAATTTCAGAATTTTAACATGTCAAACGGTACAACGAAAGGCTAAGTTTTGAAATCTTGAAGTGAATGCTAGTAAGATTTCCATAATGCGAAAGAGTTTTAATCTTTGTTTTGGTTTCATGAATTAAATGACTTCGACAATATGAGAAGTTTTAGAATTTCTATTCGTCATCTATCGTGTTAATACGACAATACTCACCTGGAAAATCTCGAATATCATAGAGCACATGCCCAAAGCATTCGTCAAAGTAAACGAGAGAACAACAGGCCCATAAACCTCTTGCATAACAACCTGACACTTGATCAACGTAGCATGCCTGTCGATGCATTTCCGTAAAAGTAGTCTATGGGTTTCCATATCATTCGATCGCTTTGCCAATTCTTCCAGTTCGACAGCCATCGCTCGGAGTACTGAGCACACGCGAAACGCACACATCGTGAAAAATGCATCCACGCCGCAGCTTATGAATGGAAACGAGAAAGCAATTATCGCCTCCGTCATGTAATGTATTGTGTAGCTAAAGGTCGACGTGATCGGCCACGGGTAAGCTGACGGTACCACGAACGTAGGATGCCCGTTCCGAAATACAATTACTACCATCGGCTTGGTCACCTGCAGGAACATGACTGAGAAATTCAGGACGAATAGAGAGAATGTTAATCGGTAACAGATTAACAAATGTTCGAAAGCAGCAGATCCCGATGGTTGCTTTATCACTGTCTCCTGATATAGTGTCTCCAGCGTGTCGTATATTCGTCTTAGTTTTTCTCGACGAACGATGAATCGTGTCATCTGGAACGATACTGTGTAAAAACGCTTGTAGGATTCATGTTCATTTACAAAATAATGTATAGTTGTCATCGAAATGCAAGAAAGAAGTTCAGACCTTTGGGACAGTTTAATTGTTTGTAATAGAATCGTGAACATTCCTATAGAATTAATAATTTTGAACCTAGCACTTTTGCTTAGTGATATACTTGTCTTTACCATTTCAAATTGCAGCTACTCATTTTAACATAAACGCACGAATTCTATTTACTGCACTTTAGATATGATTATAGCTTGAAAAACGGAAACTAAAAAAAAATCTTTCATCGTCATTTGAAATTCTATTTACACTCTATTGTGAAATGTTTCCACCAATTTGATTACGTCAATTCAAACAAAATTATGGTTCTACAAACTGTTCAATTACCCTTTATTTTAATCACATGAATTGACTAATCTATCGAGTACATTGATAGAAAATAGTTAAAGGTAGATTACTAGATCACACTAAATTTAGATATTGATATTCTTTATACATTCAAAGGATTTGCTCTATCGATTTGTTGTTTCTTGTTTCCTTCAAAGAAAAGAACGTACCTTTACGCCTGCGTTCACAAGGGAACTAAGCACACTAAAAGTCGCGACGGCCGCACTGATCTCCGATATGTGTAGACGGAGAAAGTTCACCATGACACAGAGCACAAAGCCATACCATAGGAGTAAAAAAATTGGCAGGTATATGACAATGCCTCGCTGGTGCGGATACAGTCCATAAAGCTTCAAGATACGTTTCACGAGATTAGTGTACTTTTCGTAGACTAGCATTTCCCGTGTCATCATTGGAACTGTACAGAAATTCTGTCGGTATCTGCGAAGTACAATCAGTAATTTTTTTCTGAAATGGACCTAATGCTTATGCAAGCATAACGGCCGGTTTATGCCTTGTCCTACGCATGCGATTACGGATCGATCGATGGTCGTTCAACCACTTCATCACCCATCAATTTCGTTGGATTGCTCCACAAAAAAAAAACGGATATGTTAAAGAATTTACTTCGCTCAAATTCGCTCGATTCTTTACGGGATTAGATGTTACAACCCGTTCGCGATTACGAATAATCTTCCACGGCAAATCTGTGCATAGGATTTTCAAAAAGGTTTGAGGTATACCTCGATACAGTTATTACGTAGTGCGGAAGAGGGGGATTTGTAGGAATTGTAAGATGTATAAACGTAGCTAGTAAAGAACTTAGAATGGTTAGAGACAAGTTCTGCACAGATAACGACAGATGTGGTGTTGTTACACTAGTGACAAAGATCGCAAAAATAAGCTGGATGTTATTGTGGAACGTTGAACCTGAAATCATTATTTATTAAACATGAAATTGTGAATAGTTAGTTTCTATTAATTAATACGGTGAAATGTTTGTTTGGATTTGCAATCCAAATCTCCATCACACAAATAAACAATAGTGACCAACACGATCTGCGTCAAGATCTGCAACCGAAAAAGGAAACCAGAAATTGCACAAAAACGATCACAATTGATCAAATGATACCTGCAAAGCCAGTTCTGTAGTCTGTAAGACCCACTTTGCAGATGACTATGTCCAGAAGATCGAAATCTGCCACACGTTCGAACTGTAAGAACTACAGAGATTAAAAACAAAATTCACACGATTAGAAGAAGGCCGTCAACGGTAAGTTCTGTGTAATGACTCAGCGGTTAATATGATGATCAAAATTATACTTTGGATTGAATACAATTATTTGGTTGAGAACCATTTTTCTTACCAATAACTGATCTGTTTGTTCATGCCTTTTATCGCGCTATACTTTTTCCAAAAACTTCATCGTTTTTTGGGAAAGGTTTCAGGATAATTTGCGATTTTGATTGGACAAAATATGATTTCCTAACATGCTGCAAAATTGTGTCATCTTATTAATTAAATGAAATTTATAACATTATTATAAAATTGAACAAAGTGTGCAATGCTAGCGTTAAATTTGTAAAACATTTATAGTGTTGTCGTACTATCAACAAGAAGAGAAAAGAGGACTACGTTTAGGGACGGTTTCGTTTACGAGAACAAATCTACTACGATTTATCAGTTACTAACATTTATTTATATTGGAAATACAAAATAGATTTCTATACATCCGCCCATTATTCGTCATCGTCAAGGGTTAGCAGTAAGAAATAGTAAGATATGGCCCTATTCATGATCTGAAAATATATGTTCGCAGTCATTAAATCCTAAAACTAAAAAACATTAGGTGGACCCGAAGGTTCTTCGCACTGTTAAATAGTACGAGCACATGAAAACATACAATTTCACGTTTTGCATACTAGTCAAAAACAAAATTAACTTTCGTGACAGGCTAATATAAGGATGAAATTGTACTACCTTGGCGAAGAGATCGACAGTAACCGCCATTAAACGGCATGCCCTCAGGATCAGCGATTTCTGCATCAGTATTGTGAGCGCGAGTTTACCGGTTTTAGCACTTGTATCCTCGTACCAGTTGTTGCAGTAAACTTCCTGGCGAAAAACGTTGCTCTTTCCGAAGGATAATTATATGTATAAGGATCGACAGTCTCATCACTATTACCGGTGATACAAACCTCGGAAGTGACCACGTCACCCGGCCAGGTGTACATGAATGTTTGAAGCACCTTCCCGGTAAGGTAAAGTGTTATTCTCACGATTTTGTCAATCGGCATCGCAGCGTTGACCTATTAAATTTTATCCTTAATTTATTCACTTCTTATAAGACATTCTACATCAATGAAAATGATGAAAAAAGCTTAGTTCCCGAGATATTCAAGCAAGCATATAGTCGTGGATAACTATATGCGGACTATATTTGAACAACTATTAAAAGAAACAACTTTTTTAAACGCGGAACAATCGAATTGAATTTTTTTGGAACGTTAAATGGATTATTTCGAAAATTAATGTATCAAAAATTTGTATATCAAAGTAGAAAAAAAGATAAAGAAGTCACGATTTCTAACTTTCTCATCTACACAAATATTGAAAACTCGAACAGTGAAGTTTGATAACTTATATGCCTGCTGATTAAATTGAAAATGCACGACATTTTTTATAAGTTATCAACATTTTTTTACATTTGTCTAGTAAATCAGCTCACATTATCATTTCAAACAAAATCAAATTATTGATCCAATTTTGGAAGAGTCATTTCGTTTTAAAGAATGACCACATATATTTGTTCAGAACTGGGCTTTCTATTCCGAACATTGACAATTGTTTTCACCCCTTCTGCCGATTGATGTTTCATTGCAAAGCGATTACACTGACCTTAGTGACCTCGAATATCAACGCGCACATGCCCAGACAATTGGACATCATGACAGAGAAAATGATAGGCCCGTAAATCTCCTCCATAATTTCTCGACACTTGATCAACGTGACGTGACGGTCGATACAGTTCCGCAAGACCTGTTCGGTGTGTTTGCCGTTTCGTCGTTTCGATAACTCCTCCAGCTCGACTGCCATCGCTCGGAACACGGAGCTCATGCGGAACGCGCACATAGTGAAAAATGCGTCTACCCCGGAAGTAATGACACAAAATGAGTAGCACATGCTCACCTCGAGCAGGTAGTGGGCCACGAAAAACGCGGTCGAGTCGATCGGCAACGGGAAAATTGAGGGAAACGGTGTCGACCGTTTCGCGTGTCGAATTGTCAGACCTATTAGCGGTTTGATCGAGTATAGAAACGAGGTGCTAGCCATACACACGTACTGGTAGTATCCCAGACGGTAAAAGGGCAGCATAAACTGAAAAACGGGCGAATCAGGGGGTTGCTGCATTGCAGTCTCCTGGAACAGCGCCTCGAGTGTGTTGGCTACGTGAACCAGTTTTTCACGACAAATCACGAATCGAGAAGCCTGGAATAATAGTAATCGTTTAAAGAACGCGTCATTTATTTGCCGAAATAGAAATGTGCCTCAAAAGTTACAATTCTTGGCAAAACAGACGGAAAATCGGTTGATCCTTGTGCAAAAAATACTTGGTCCTAAAGTAGATCTTTGATTTTTATTAAAACTTTTGTTCAAATTCCTACATTGATTTCATGTGAACAATTCGTGAATACTGATCGGCAATTATGAAGTAGACTATTTCTGAAATTGAATGTTAATTGTATTACATTGTAATTTCAATGCAGAAGTGCCTAAGTTAATTCATGAGACTTAAAAATCACATACAATCAGTTTAACCCACAAATGGTGATACCAGTGCACCTCGCAAGTTCATTAAAACAATAAATAATTTGACAGTGTATAAACTTCATTAAATGTTGCATTTTCTATCGATGCACAAGAGCTTTCATCATAACAGAATCGAATCTCAACAACTTTCTTTTAGAAAAAAAAAATTTTTTAATTGATTTTCTGACCTGGTATGCCATGTATAGACGAAAATATTTGTACGTTAAGTGATTAATTCTCTCAGTGCTGACTAAAATGAATGAGTTTTATAAATCATATAAATGGCATATATCAAATTTTTCATAAATACCACAGATTAAACAATGTAACTTTCACCCGTACCGAATAAACATTGTGTGGGAATGAATCGGTGTCAGTGAAAATAAACTACTAGTGCGCCGACAAACGTACCCTTATAGTCATGTTGACAATTGCGCTAAGCAGGCTTAGACACGCAGTGATCGCACTGATCTCGGTGATATGTAGCCGGACAAAGTTGATCATTGCGCAGAAATCTATGCAGTAAGTCAATATCCAAAGGAACGGGAGATACCTGCTGACGATACTCCGTTCGTAAGGGTACAAGCCGCACATGAGAAGGCATCGTTTCACGAAGTTAGCGTAGTCTTTGTACAACGGCAACTCCTTTGACATTGTTCAAGTTGACCGAACAATTTTATCGCAATCGATGAAGACTCATCGACGAACTTTTTTAAAATGGACTTAATTCGCGTAACCATCGTTATCTCCGTCGGTCTACGTCCTTGATTACAAGCAGATCGATAGAAGCTTGGCTAATCCTTTACCCTTCAATTTGGTTAAACTGCTTACAGTCGAATAATTCATTAGCTGGATGCGTTTTACTGCTTTGTAAAGATATTGCCGAGCATCGGGGAATGTGCACATGGAACTTAAACGATTTGAACTTTGTGGGATTTTTATTAAACGGCTATCTAATGCTGCACCTTACCGGTTAAACGATATGAACTTCATGTGATTTTTATTCAACAGCTGTCGGACACCGTACTTTTATCGATTTCTCGTAGACAGAAGAAAGTTTCGCGTAATGTGCGTAGATGGGGTCATCTGCAATCATTCTCGAGGATCGGTGAATAGCTTGTGAAGGTTGCAATGTGCAGGTATTGTTTCAACCTTTACATTCGTCTAACTCGTTTTTCACGGTAAATCCCCACTACGCAAGAGTGGCTAAATTTTCAACCGAAAAAGGGAACCAAAGTTTGAACAAAAACCATTACAAATGATCAAAAATAAGACCTGCAAAGCCATCTCTGCCGCCTGTATGACCCACTTTGGAGATGACTCTGACTTCAAGATCGAAATCAGTCACTCGTTCGAAGATATGAACTACAGAAATACAAAAAAAAATTCAAACCATTAAGCGACTAATTAAAAGAAAAAATAATTTGCCGTTCGTGGACATGCTTACCATCCCAAAGAAAACGATCAGTGATAAGTTCTGTGTGATGATTTAGCGGTTGATATTATTATTAAGTTGAAAATCATTTTTCCTACTATCAATTAACTGATTTGTTCATGTTATTTAACGTGCTATACTTCTTTTAAAAATTTCATTACTTTTTGAAAAGGTTTTCAGGATAGTTTGGGATTTTGATATGACAAAAGTTCCCTAAGATACTACAAAATGTGGTCATATTTCTAATTAAATGAAATTTATAACATTATCTTAAAATTGAACAAAATTTATAATGCTATCATTAAATTTATGAAATGTTTATAGTATTGTAGTATCAACAAGAAAAGAAGAAAGGAAAATGTTTAGGAACGATTTCGTTTAGGAGAACAACTCTGCTACGATTTATCAGTTCCTAACTTTTATTTACATTGGAAACAGAAAATAGATTTCTATATACTTCATTCCGTTATTTGTCATCGTCAAGCGTTACCAATAAGAAATAGTAGGATATCGTTCTATTCATAATCTGAAAATATATGTTCGCAGTCATTAAACCTTGAAACTAAAAAACGTAAGATTGACGCAAAGGTTTTTGACATTATTAAATAGTACAAGCATATCCAAATATACAAAAATTCACATATTACATATTAGTTGAAAACAAAATTAACTTTCGTAACATCCTAATATAATAATGAGATTGCACTACCTTGGCGAAGAGATCGACGGTAACCGCCATTAAACGACACGCTCTCAGGATCACGGATTTCTGCATCAGTATCATGAGCGTGAGCTTCCCAGGTTTAGTACTTATGTCCTCGTACCAGTTGTTGCAGTAAACTTCCTGGCGAAAAACGTCGCTCTTTCCAGAGCAGAATTACATGTATAAGGATCAGCAGTCTCATCATTGTTATAGGTGATACAAACCTCGGAAGTGACTACATCTCCCGGCCAGGTGTACATGAATGTTTGAAGTACCTTCCCCGTAAGGTAAAGGGTTATTGCTACGGCTTTCTCAACTGCTATTGCAGCGTTGGCCTGTTACAGCGAAAACGTATTTGTTCATTAATTTTTATCCTCATTTAGTAACTTCTTTAAAACCATTCTACATCAATAAAAATTATAAAAAAATGTTAGTTCCCAGGATATTGAAGCAAGTATACAGTCATGGTCAATTATATGTGGACTGTATTTGGTCAACTATTAAAAGAAAGACTTTTTTAAGACTTTTTTTAAGAATGGATCAAACAATTTATTTTGAAACATTAAATGGAATACTTCAAAAATTAATGTGTCAAAAATTTGTTTGCAAAAGTAGAGAAGGAATTGAAAAAGTCACGTTTGTCAACTTTCTAGTTCTCGATAACTTATACGTCTGCTGATTAAATTGAAATGATTACACAACATTTTTTGTGAGTTGTGTAGCAATCAACACCTCACTATCACTTCAAAAAAGTTCAGATTGATTGAACCAATTTTAAAAGAGTAATTCCATTTTAGCGGATGATCATATATATTTATTCACAATTAGGCTTTCTATCCCTATCTTTGATAATAGTTTTCATCGCTTCTACGAATCGATGTACCATTCTAAGGGAATTATTTGCAACGCGATTACACTGACCTTAGTGACCTCGAATATCAACGCGCACATGCCCAGACAATTGGACATCATGACAGAGAAAATGATAGGCCCGTAAATCTCCTCCATAATTTCTCGACACTTGATCAACGTGACGTGACGGTCGATACAGTTCCGCAAGACCTGTTCGGTGTGTTTGCCGTTTCGTCGTTTCGATAACTCCTCCAGCTCGACTGCCATCGCTCGGAACACGGAGCTCATGCGGAACGCGCACAGAGTGAAAAACGCGTCTACCCCGGAAGTAATGATACAAAACGAGTAACAGATGCTCACCTCGAGCAGGTAGTGCGCCACGAAAAACGCGGTTGAGTCGATCGGCAACGGATAAATTGCGGGAAACGGTGTCGACCTATTCGCGTGTCGAATTGTTAGACCTATCAGCGGTTTGGTCGAGTATAAAAACGCGGTGCTGACCATACACACGTAGTGGTAGTATCCCAGACGGTAAAAGGGTAGCATGAAACGGAAAGCGGGCGAATCAGGGGGTTGCTGCATCGCAGTCTCCTGGAACAACGCTTCGAGTGTGTCAGCCACGTGTATCAGTTTTTCACGACAAATCACGAATCGGGAAGTCTGGAATAATAGTAATCGTTTAAAGAACGTGACGTTTATGTACCAAAATGGAAGCATGCCACAAAAGTTACGATTATTGATAAAACAGACAGAAAATCGGTTGATTCTTGTGCAAAAAAATCTTAGTCCTAAAGTAAATCTTTAATTTTTGTTAAAACTTTTGTTCAAATTTCTACATTGATTTTATATGAACAATTCATATATGCTGAACACCAATTATGCAGTAGACTATTTCTGAAATTAAATACTAATTGTGCTACAATGTAATTTTTAATTTATAAGTATATAAATTAATTGATCAGTCTTATAAATCACATACAATCAGTTGTATTTCAATTTAACCTTGAACGTTCATGCTACGTATATCGCGTGTGCATTAAATTAAAAAGAAATAATTTGTGGTCCTATCATTTCAATTCAATTCGATATAATGTTTTATTTTCAATCTGTGCACAAGAGCTTCAACCACAAGTGAATCGAATCTCGTCAACTTTCTTTTAACGGTCCGGAAAAAAAGAATTTAATCATTGATTGACTGACCTGGTATGACACGTATAGATGAAAATATTTGTGCGTTAAGTGGTCAACCCTCTCGGTGCTAACAAAAATATATCAAATTTTTCATAAATACCACAGATTAAACAACGTAGCTTTCGCCTGTACCGAATAAACATAGCGTGGAGATGAATCAGAGTCAGTGAATAAAAGCTATCAGTGCGCCGACAAACGTACCCTTATAGTCATGTTGACAATGCCGCTAAGCACGCTTAGACACGCAGTGATCGCACTGATCTCGGTGATGTGTAGCCGGAAAAAGTTGATCAAGGCGCAGAAATCTACACAGTAACCCAGTATCCAACAGAACGGCAAATACCTGCTGGCGATGCTCCGTTGATAAGGGTACAAGCCGCACATGAGAAGGCATCGTTTCACGAAGTTAACGTAGTCTTGGTACAACGGGAACTCCTTTGGCATCGTTCAAGTTCTCCGGACAATTTTATCGCAATCGATAAAGACCCATCGGCGAACTTTTTTAAAATGGACCTATTTCGCGTAACCACCGTTATCTCCGTCGGTCTACGTCCTTGATTATCAGCGGACCGGTCGGGACTTGGCTAATCCTTTACCCTTCAATTTGGTTAAACTGCGCACAGGGTCGAATAATTCATTAGGCTGGATGCGATTTGCTGCTTTGTGGATTAGACGTTGCGGAGCATCAGCGAATGTGCACAAGGAACTTAAACGATTTGAACTTCATTGGATTTTTATTAAACGGCTATCCGATGCTGCACTTTACCGGTAAATCGAGCGGATCGATCACGGCTCGGCTAATCCTTTACCCTTCAATTTTTTTAAACTGCTCGCATGGTCGAATAATTCATCAGGCTGGATGCGTCCTGTTGCTTTCTAAATTAGGCGTTGCAGAGCATTAGAAAACGTGCACAGGGAACTTAAACGATTTGAACTGCATGGGATTTTTATTAAACGACCATCCGATGCTGCACTTTACCGCGGTTAAACGGTTTGAACTTCATGAGATTTTCATTGAACAGCCGCCGGACGTTGCACTTTTTACGATTCTTCGTAGATAGGAAGAAGTTTCGCGTAATGTGCCTAGTTGGGGTCATCTGCAATGGTTCTCAGGAATCGGTGAATAGCTTGTGAGGAAAGCAACGTGCAGACAGTGCTTCAACCGTTCCTTTTGGCTGACTGGTTTTCCACGGGTATTGTGCACGCGACAGTGAGTAAATCAGTAAATGTTTCGTGTAAAATTATCAAAATTTGTACGAGACTAAAATGATTTTTACTGCTGCTATGAAAATGTAACTGAGCTAACTGACGCTGATGTAGAATATAAGTCTACCAATAAATCATTTCTGTACAAGTAGAAGATTATCAATGGGTCAAGACAAGCTGTTGTTATTTATTATGGTAGAATAAAAGATTAAGTCTCTTTTGCTATGAATACCTATTATTGATTAATTTTGCAAATTGTATCCTCATTAGTTCTAACAAGCGTCAAGCCTCGAGCGTCGCTAACAGGAAGTAGTAAGATATCGTTCTAGTCATAACCTGGAAGCACACGTTTCTGAATATCAAGTCGCGGCGTATTAAAACGAAGCGTACAGACAAAAAGTTCGCAGAGTGATTACTGATTCCATTTTAAAGGCAATGCTGTTGTTATTTCTATTTGAACTTCTAATTGGTAGTTTTATCTATTATCGTGGCAAGTTTCACGACGATTCATCGCGTGGTTTTGGCAGCGTAAAAATTTTTAGCATGCTCTTGTTATTAAACAATGTTATAACTGGATTTTTCATCACAGCATCGCACCGGTATACATTTCACTAATTGTTCTCGAGCTTTCAGCAGAACTTGATGTTACAGTTCTTGGTCATCCAATATGAGACTTCCTTTTATTCTTGAAAACAAAACATATCATGTGGAAACAGCATTTTAGGTACATAAACACATTAGGTACTAATTAACGCATAAATTAAAGAACTGCAGCACTGTTTTGCAAGAAGTGTAACTAGATTGAATATCTACATGAGCATCAAAAAAGTGCATTTCAAAAGTAGTAATGTAAATTTTGTTAAAGAATCAGGCAAGTATTTGTTATTGATCATCCTGCAAACTTTTTGTCCATTCCTCGTACCGTCACAAGATTACTGTACCTTTACGAAGAGATCCAAGGTAACCTCAAGTATGTTGTACGCCCTTAGTACCATCAGCCTCTGCGATAATATCATGACACAAAGTTTTCCGTTTCGAGCATCCGAACGCTCGTACCAATTATTAAAGGAAATCTCGTCACGAAAAGCTTCGTTCTTCGGAAAAAAATAATTTAAATATTAAATACGAGGAAAAGATTTGAGAAGATATGTAAGTCTTACACTTATTATTCAGCCGTCATTTTATCTTCGAGATAAGATAATAACATGCATTTTATATGTTTATTATTAGACTGCGAAGCTTTATGCAAAACAACAATTTTCTAAGTAGATTGTATTCAGTGTAAATTAAATCGAAAAGTATTTTTTTTTCTAATAATTTTACTAAATTGAGAAGAATGTAGAAACATTCATAAATTTTTCAAATCTCTTTGTATATATTTTCTCTGGTCATCTCATTATGCTATTTATTATACTTTAATGGTACGTTTTACGCACTGCTATACGTGATACAAACTTCATAAGTGATCATAGTTCCGGGCCAGACATAAACCACCGTCTGAATCACTTTCGATAAAAAATGGATGCATACAATGATAATTCTTCCGATCGGTATTTCCGCAACCTGCCATAGAGAAAAGATTCATGAACAATAAAAACATCTTTTCTTAGTAGACTCGGCATCTATTAATTTTTGTCATAAATGCGTAAAGTCTATACAGGGTGAACCGGAATTTATAGTACAACCGAGTAGAGATGAGCCTACATGAAAAAAATAATAAACAAATTACGATTATTTTTTTATCCGTATAACAGCTACAATCCATTTTAGACAAATATGAATAAGTAAAACACAAGATTGTGGACATATCAGAAAAAATTCAGAATTTTAAACTGTCAAACAGTTCATCGAAAGGCTAAATTTCGAAGTCTTCAAGTGAATGTTAGTAGGACTTTTATAATGCAAAAGAGTTTTAATCTTTGTCTTCGTTCCATGAATTAAATGACTTGGACAATATGAGAAGTTTTAGACATGCTATTCAGCACTTATCGAGTAAATATGACTGTACTCACCTGAAAAATCTCAAATATCATAGAGCACATGCCCAAAGCATTCGTCAAGGTAAACGACAGAATAACAGGTCCATAAACCTCTTGTATATCGTCCCGACACTGGATCAACGTAACATGCCTGTCGATACACATTCTTAAAAATAGTCTATGGGTTTCTATATCATTCGATCGCTTTGCCAATTCTTGCAGTTCGACAGCCATCGCCCGCAGCACTGAGCACACGCGAAACGTGCACATCGTAAAAAATGCATCCACCCCGCCGCTTATGAATGGAAACGAGAAAGCAATTATCGCCTCTGTCATGTAATGTATTGTGTAGCTAAAGGTCGACATGATCGGCCACGGGTAAGCTGACGGAACCACGAACGTAGGATGCCCGTTCCGAAATACAATTACTACCATCGGTTTGGTCACCTGCAGGAACATGACAGAGAAATTGAGGACGAATAGAGAGAATGATAATCGGTAACAGATTAACAAATGTTCGAAAGCAGCAGATCCCGATGGTTGCTTTATCACTGTCTCCTGATATAGTGTCTCCAGCGTGTCGTATATTCGTCTTAGTTTTTCTCGACGAACGATGAATCGTGTCATCTGGAACGATACTGTGTAAAAACGCTTGTAGGATTCATGTTCATTTACAAAATATTGTGTAGATGCCATCGAAATGCAAGAATGAAGTTCAGACCTTGTGGACAGTTTAATTGTTTGAAATGGAATCGTAAACATTCCTATAGAATTAATCATTTTGAACCTAGCACTCTCTTTTGCTTAGTGATGTACCTGTCTTTACTAAAATACGACATTGACTTCAGTAAGACATCTCAAACAGGATGTCCTTTTAACGTCTGAATTAAAACGTCCTAGAAACATCCATTTTAGATCTTAAGACGTTCAGACATGAAATGGACGTAAAATGGACGTGTTTAAGACGTCGCGTGCTATCCAGGTAGCGATACATCGACAATATTTCATTCTTTTAACTGTTTTACCATTTCAAATTGCAGCTACTCATTTTAACATAAACGCACGAATTCTATTTACTGCACTTTAGATATGATTATAACTTGAAAAAACTAAAAAAAAATTTTTCATCGTCATTTGAAATTCTATTTACACTCTATTGTGAAATGTTTCCACCAATTTGATTACGTCAATTCAAACAAAATTATGGTTCTACAAACTGTTCAATTACCCTTTATTTTAATCACATGAATTGACTAATCTATCGAGTACATTGATAGAAAATAGTTAAAGGTAGATTACTAGATCACACTAAATTTAGATATTGATATTCTTTATACATTCAAAGGATTTGCTCTATCGATTTGTTGTTTCTTGTTTCCTTCAAAGAAAAGAACGTACCTTTACGCCTGCGTTCACAAGGGAACTAAGCACACTAAAAGTCGCGACGGCCGCACTGATCTCCGATATGTGTAGACGGAGAAAGTTCACCATGACACAGAGCACAAAGCCATACCATAGGAGTAAAAAAATTGGCAGGTATATGACAATGCCTCGCTGGTGCGGATACAGTCCATAAAGCTTCAAGATACGTTTCACGAGATTAGTGTACTTTTCGTAGACTAACATTTCCCGTGTCATCGTTGAAACTGTACAGAAATCCTGTCGATATCTGCGAAGTACAATTGGTAATTTTTTTCTGAAATGGACCTAATGCTTATGCAAGCATAACGGCCAGTATATCCCTTGTCCTACGCGTGCGATTACGGATCGATCGATGGTCGTGCAACCACTTCATCACCCTTCAATTTCGTTGGATTGCTCCACAAAAAACGGACATGTTTAAGAATTTACTTCGCTCAAATTCGCTCGATTCTTTACGGGATTAGATGTTACAACCCGTTCGCGATTACGAATGATCGTCCACGGTAAATCTGTGCATAGGATTTTCAAAAAGGTTTGAGGTATACCTCGATACAGTTATTACGTAGTGCGGAAGAGGGGGATTTGTAGGAATTGTAA